GCGAGCTGCTCCTGGGACTGGCGAGAGCTATGTCCAGTCCAGTATTGGGGCTTGACATAGTCTGCGTTAATTTTTTTAGGTGTGTGGTTGCATATTCTGTCTCATATCTAATGCTTAGAGCCTGCCAGGGTTGGTAGGATCCATTCCCTGTCCTCGAGCCAACCTGCAGGTCGATAAAACCATCCCTGCAAATCTTATTTTTTTTTAACCAAACTTTTGATACTCTGCTTCTGTTGCCTTGTATTTTATGCACCATATAGTTTGTTTGGGGTACTAAATGTTAAATTAAGTATTAAATTAAAATGCCTTCCTAGTTGCTGCCATTGAGCCCCAGCTAGACATGTTTCCCTGTTGTCTCAAAACTCAAGGTAGCTGCGCTTCAGCAAAACAATGATGCACCCCCCCGAGTACATCAAAAAACCCAGTAAAGTCCGGATTTTAACTTATTATCCACACTGTTAAGTGTGTGACCGGTCTGGGCAAGCTTGGTTGGCTGTGACGTATCGTTTGGTTTTTCCAGTACTGGTGAGAAGCCGTTCCTGGGAACTTGGGGGATGGAGGTTGGCTCATGTTTTGAGTGAGGGTAGTTGGTTTGCCTGTTCTCTGTGTCATTGCGGGAGGGAAGCACTTGGCTCAAAGCATTTGGTGAATGAAAAAAAAAAGTGGGGAAAAACACAAAAACTTGAGATCTAGGAGGGAAATCGCAGTGCTGTTGGTTGGTTTTGGAGAGCAGAGCCGGGCTTTGCGGGCAAAGCGGCTTTTGGATGAACTTTGAATGTTCTCACCTCGGCTTGATTTCTCTGCTTTCATTATGGGTTGAAGCATCATAAATATGTGAATCTTCTCTCTCGCTTTGAAGAAAGGGAGACTCTGAAGCTGCTGCTTCTTTGATGTAGCTGGAATCTAAGGCCGGTGGTGCCCTCCAGGCTCCCCTCTCTTGGCTTAAATACCTGCTTTTGACTCTTGGAGTCATCGTCACTGAGCCGAGCACATTAATAAGACTGGGAGCTCTCTGAAGGTCTCGAGACGCAACTGATCCTGAGAAAGAACTGAATCTTTTTCAAGTTTTACTCCAACCTCTGTAAGAGGATGCTCTAATTCAGACCTCTCTGTACGAGTGATAAATGGATGCTGCCGCGAGCAGTCGGAAAGCCCATGCCAGAGCCATTCTCAAGCGAGCCTGGGCAAGGAGGTGAGACCACAAATCTCCAGAAAAAGCGGATGCGTTTGCAGGAAGGTTTCTGCATCTCCAAACAAGCAAGGATCAGGCACTTACCGTATCATCTCACCCCCTTTTTACAACATTTTTCCTGTCTACTTCTTCACGTAACTTTTAATAAAAAGTTTTCAGGGGGAGATCTTCATCTCAGAGTCTCTCTCTGCACTAAAAGAAGTTGTGGCCATTTATAGTGATGCTGATAAGGCTTTAACATCCACACGTTTTATCTTGTGGCGAGAGAAGGAGCTTTGCAAGAATGTGCGGCTCATTGCTGTGAGCTTTTCTATTAGCGTATGATTTCCAAACCGGGAACAGCAGCAACGTCAGCAGTTGAAATACAGCGCTGCTTCATCCTGAGGGCAGGAGCAGGGAGAAGCAATGTAGAGGAAAAACTGCTTTGAAGAGACAGGGAATTGGGTTTGCAGGACCTAAGGAGCTCGGTTCACTTTGAAAGGATGAAAACTTGCGGTCCCTCTGGAAGGATTGCACCCAGACCTGCTTTTTTGATAAAACACAAGCTCAGAGCAGCCTGTTATCACTGTTTGGTGGTTATTCTTGCCATTTTCCTGATTAAAAGCCTTGTCTATGCACAGGTTAGCTGGCACACGGCTTATTTAGGTCAGACAAAACCACACTGCGCTCCTTAGGATTTGAATTTTGCTTAAACACTCTCTCAAGTGATGCTTTAAACTAGAGCCAACCGCTTTCACACACTTAAACCAGTATCATACAGTAAAAAGAAGTAGTAATTATGGTCTGAAGTGCCAGCCATTAATATTTTACGTTACCAGGATGATGGCACAAATAATGCGGTTTTACCTGTTGACACCTACTTGGTCTGGCTGCCTGTGAGCTGGTAGATATGGAAATAAATTACCCTGAAGAAAATAATACTTACATGTTTTTATCACTCCTTTTTGCTGAACTACTGCGCTTTGCAGCCCTTGGATGTGAGGCCGGACACCACGATGACTCAAAAAGCCAGGTTTGCCGCAAGTCACTAAGGGCAGCTCTTCGCCGCTCCTCCCTTTATCTTTTTTTAATGGTTTGCTGCATGCAGGTGGAAGAGGAGAATTCAGACCGCTTTGCTGAGCACCGGATCTGAATTTCAAAGAGCTGCTGGGACTGCGGTTCTTGCTCAAACCCGAGTCGTTCCAACTCAAAATAAGGCTCGGAGGGATGAGAGTGTTGCGCTTGCAAACCTCCTCCTTTCTTCTTGGGGAAGATTAAAGGCAGCTTTCACCAACGTGGCTCGTTCGAGCGTGTTGCTTCGAGGGCGATGGTTTTAGCCGTAACGAGCCCGCATCTCGCGGGTGGCAGCGGCAGTCCTTGGCACGGAGAGCTCCTCAGGTGCGACCTGCGAGGCTCTTTTCATGGGCTTTCTTTGGGTTTTCTGCTTCTTATCCTTCTCTGAGCTCCAGGAGCCCGCATGAAAGTAAAACCCACAACAAAGTCTGTCTCGACTTACGAGAAATAAATCCAGGCGCAACAGTAGTTTGGGCTGAACCTCTCTTTGCAGAGAAGAAGACACCCTGATGAGGCTTCCCGGCAGCTACTAAGCCTTGTTATAAGGATTTTGTACCAAATTTTGCACAGTTATAAAAGCAAATGTTAAAAACTTCTTTGCAGCATGGGGGTATCAAACAGGTAGCAATAGCCAATATCCCTGTAGGCGTTTTTCCTCCCTCTCTTTCTAGGTGACTTTGGCAAGGTCTTCCTCACTGATAGGAGTAGGATTAAAAGCAATAGAGGAGTTGGAGGTAGGTTAGAAAATAGTTAGAAAATGGCTGCTCCTGGCCATATCTGCCCATGTTGGCATGGGAGAAGGCCAGGAGGAGCCCAAGAGCTGGTGGCTTTTCCTACTCCCGTTGGCCAAGTATGGCCACCACACTTGTTGGTGCCACCAACCCATCAGCAGGAGGGGAAGCAGGTGTTCACCTCTCCCAAAACCTGCTCCTTGAAGAGTGTGGTGCTTAAAGACATGGGAAAAACCTGGGTTTTTTCTGTCTTATCAAGCACACACACCTCTCCTGCCCACTTCAGGCTTTTCTTTCCAGGGGAAAAATGTAAAGATTCAAGCTTGTTTACCAAAAGAAGGGATGACTTGGAACATAATAAGCCCACTTTTATTCTGCGGAGAACAGAAAATGACTTTCATTAAACTTTTTTTTTTCATTGTGTGAACAGAAGAAAAAAGAAGCTTTTTTCCTTTGTAGCTGTAGCATTTGATCTCTAATTTAACTTGACGGGAAGAGAAATCCCTGTTAGACTGCGGAGGCTTATTAGCATTTTGTCGAATGGCACCGATGAACTGAGCTGCCTTCAAGAGCCAAGAACTACATTCATTCAAGGCGCTGAAAGAGCCATCTCTCCTGCATGCTCCGGGAATAAGATGGATTAGTCACCTGTAATTAAATCAGTGAAGCATGAATGAGCCTGATCTTTCCCGGGCTCGTGAAAGCAAGGATGCCTCCAATACATGCATGTATGCAGCTATAACTGCCACACGCCTCTAAAATGGGGCTAAACGGGGCTAAACACCCACTTTTCTTTTTTTACACGGTCTCTTCAACTTCCCATTTCTGCTTTCCAGTTTCTGAAAGTAATTGGGGCTCTCGACGCAGGTGGTGCAAAGTGGCATTGGACATGCAGGGCAAGGCTGGTGGGGAGATGCATTGGTGGGCTGGAGGTGTCAAGGTTTGTTCAGCTGCACATCTCAGCCTCTCCTTTTCTTCTTTTTGCAGTTTTCTTGCTGTGGTGGCGATGAGTACCGCGACTGGGAGGTTAACCAGTACCACTCCTGCAACGGCAGCGGGCCGCTGGCCTGCGGGGTGCCTTACACGTGCTGTATCAGGAAGGTAAGGCAACCAAGGCATGGAAAATGCCTTTATTTCAGTCAATATTTCAGCAAAACACTCTCTTCCAGCTGGTTACTACTGTATATTTCTGCACTATAGGGTTTCTTGTAAACTACATTGCCATCTTGCAAAGCAGTTTGAGACAGCATCAGTGTGAGATGCTAAAGAAACTAAAAAATAAATATATGGGCTACACTGTATTTTAGTAGGGTCTGCTGTTTTAATGTAGAATAAATAACAAAGTACTGGGCTATTAATTGCATTTGTATCATGCCGAGGAGTTGTTAGGAATGCTGAGTTCTGATTTTTCAACCTAATCTGTGATACAAAATGATTTGGAGGATCTTTGCAATGGTTTTGCAAAGAAATAGCAGCATCGTAAAAGGAGTTGGCTGCATCTCAGCATGGATCCGAAGGAGGTGTTGTCCTCTGCTTTCCTGGCCAAGAGGACAGGTTTCCCAGCCGACCGCTGCGGGGTTTAGCGGTGCAGGGGGGTCACGTTTGCTGGTGTCTCCTTCTAAGGAGGAGATTTTGGGGGGTTTTGCTGAAAATGGGGCCAGGAGAGGTACATGGATAGCGAGTCACCCTTGTGCAATGAAATAAGAAAAGTCTCCTGAGCAACTGCCCTTGCAAGGCTGTGTTTCCGACACGCTGCGAGTTGGGTCCAACAGAGATGGAGAGAGCGGGGAGGGGGTTTGCAGAGCCATTAGGGTCTCCTGTGCTGATTTTCAGAGCTGAAAATCAAGACACCCCCCGCCAAGCAGTGCTTTTCTGCTGAGACTAAGCTAAGTGCTCTGACACCGTCTTGTTTAATACAACCGTCCAGCTCACTGCAATCAATCCAACACATGCTGTGGATAAAATGCCGGGAGCTGGGCCAAGGCAGGGGAAAAAAAAGTGCAAATATCCCCGGTTGCTTGGCCAGAAATGCTATGAACGTTACTAAAAAAGATTTGCTAAGCATAATCCTGGCAGCAAAACCTCCTTGAGGTTCAGAGCATCAGGAGTATCAGCGTTGCCTCTGAACCCTGGCCGTGCCTCAGGCTTTAATAATTGTGCAAGAAAAATATATCCTCAATCTCGTATCGCTGTTGGATTTTTAATGGAAAAAGAGGGAAATCTGAGATGTTTTAATTGTCAGTGGAGGTCAATACAAATCAGCTGCAAAAATAATAGTTGTCTCTAATCAGAGGATTGGTTAAGAATCCTAAAGCTCCTGAGGAAGGAATTAGAAATTCATGTATTGTCCTTTTATATTACGAGTGAGGATGTGTTGGAGAGAGTCAAGTGCATTTTTCAGTATTTTTACACTCCCCACGGTTTTGGGTGACAAGTTGGCAAACAAGACCTCAGCGCAGCAGACAGTATTGGAGATATAAGAAATCACAGATGATTAACATAGCAGGGTAAGAAATACTGCAACTTTTTGGCTTCCCGTTGCAATGAGCTGGGTCTGGAGGGTGCTCTAGCGAAGGACTGGAGCAGCCAGCCCCTGGGAGGGAAAGTCCACACTAAATCCTCTGCGTTTTTTTCAAGAATTAAAGCCCATGAATGTGGTTCTGGCAGCCTGAGCGGTTTTATGGGAAGCGAGACCTCACCAAATGCATCTAAATCTCCATGAGAAATGAAACCTGTTCTTGGGAAGAACAGTAACCAGGTAGATAGATGTAGCCTCATTTTTCAGAGATTTGATTTTTGGCACTGCAGGGCACTTTTGATTAAGAAATCAGCCCAACACAGTATCAGTAGTACATGAAATGGATTGAGAGAACCAGCTCCCTTGGGAGTTTTCTGCTGCCTGCGACATAAAACAAGCTAATAAAAATTTGAACAACGGAGTGAAACCCCCCGTAATTATATTTACCGTAAGCTCCAGCATGTTTATTTGTAGCTATTTGCTGAAATTGCAAAGTCATCGTGGGGGTTTTCTTTGTGGGCCGAGAAGGTGGGAGAAGGACCTCTGCTCCTTGCAATGAAGAAGGTACGTGTGTGCGATACTCTGGACATACCTGGTTGGGTCTTAGCAACATGCAAGCCCCGCTGAAAACCCTTTCCACCAAAATACGTTACTTGAGGGCTGAAGAGAAGATCTTGCGTTGGCCCTGCAGCTGGAGGGATAACCAGGGACCCACCCGGGCACGTGTATGAATCCTCCTGTGTTGGGTAGAGGTGAACACGGTGATCTCTCTGCCGTGAATAACCTTTTTATCAACCAGTTATAAATCCACTCTTAGTAGGGCAAGGAACCCTTCTCTTCTCACGTCTTTCTTCTCTATTTGTGCCTTCATGAATGGAAGATGAAGAGAACAAAGCATCCTTTTGATTAGAGGGCCTTTGAGATTTAAGTAGAGAGGTACCAGAGGAGGTCATTTGGAAATGTAATATTGTGGAAAGAAGAAGAGATGCTGATAGGAGCGAGCCGTGCGATACAGCCCCATCTCTGCGGGGGGTGGGTGGATACTGGCAAAGCGTTCAGGTTGGTTTGGTTGTTCCTCCTGCTCTGTGGCGTTTCAGTCCAACCTTCCAAACCAAGGCAACACGAGACAATATCCCGTGAAGGAGACATTCCCTCTGTGCACACCGCTTCTGAGACACAGAAATTTTGACTTCAGAGCTTTTGCTGGGCCTGGCACGCTGCTTGGATGAATATTTTCCTGGCTGGATGGTTGCTTGGTGCTCCGGTGGGCCTGTCTGAAGGAAGGAGCGTGAAACGTGGATTAGGAGGTTGGTTGCAATGTTTTCAACCTGTCATTACATACAGCTGTACAACTATCCTGTTTTCCAAGAAAAGACTTTTTCTATTACAATGCCCTCCAAGAGCTTTGTGTTGCATCCCTTGGGGCATCTTCCAGGACAGGCTGAGTTGCATTAATTACAGCAGACGTCCTCCAAAAATGCCCTGGCTATTTTGAAGAGTCTCATCTCTGAGGTTGTAGACCTTAAAATCTTCCCAGGAAGAAGGAATGGGCACATATGCTGCTACTTGAGGGTGTGAGCCTGGATCCTCGTCTCAAAGTGCTTTTCTAAATGGTTTCCCAATGCAGTTGTGCCTTCTCCCAGGAAGCCACGGCTTAGCTGTGCCTCTGCCAAGTGCAGCGTCTCCGAACCCCCTTGTGAAGTGTCACCGCTGACGTTTGGCACTGATCTTGGGGAGAAAAGCAGTTGATTAAATGAAAAGTGCGAAGATTGCAGTCTTCTGCCCTTGGTGGGTTTTAAACGTCTGTGTGTTGCTCTTTTGTGATCTCTGAAGGCATCAAAATGCATTCTGGAGGAATAAAGGCTTCTGCGTGGTTTTGTGTTACAAATTTCAATTCAGCTCTGACCTTCTCTTCCATGCAAGACCTTGACAAAAGTCGATCAAGGCTAAAACCTCACCTTTCTATCTTCCATGCTTCTCCCAAATACAAGGTGCTGAGGGAATTACTCAAACAGACGGGCAGGGCTGGAGATGACTGAGGAACCCTTGGTTATTTAACGCAAGAAGGAGGAAAAGTGGTGATGAATTTGTGCCATAGTCAGATGGGTTCAAATGATGGCCCCAATAGAAAGCAGTGGTGTTTCACCGGCAAGAATCCTGTGATGGCCATGAAAGTGAGTCTGAAAAGCAAGGACAACTGAAAGCTATCAAGAAAAAGCGTTTATTTTTATAATGTGAACCAAATAGAGGGACCCTTGGCCAGGTACATGTTCCTTTGTACCACTGTAGGCAAGAGCACTTACCTTAAGAGCATTGCAAATTCCCCTTATGCTGGAGGCTTCCCATTTCGTGGTGCAACCCTGGGTGAGACCTCCCTCGGCGATGCTGACGGGGGATTTGCTGCTGGTCACCAGATTTCCCTGCAAGTCCTTCGTATGCACAGGGACTAATTAGTCTCCTTAACTACACCCAGTTTGTAAATAGTGTCTGGAAGTGGTGGGAGATGGGATTTTTGGTAGCACTGTGGGTAACGTGGTGGGTACAGACACTCTTGGTAGGATAGCGCTCGAATAATTTCCCTGCCCGTTACAGGAAGAAGAAGTTGCAGCTTTATGGCTGGGGTCTGTCCAGAGGTGCACGTTTCTTTTATGCTGTGTCTTGCAGGAAAGCATAATTTACATCTGAATGTGCACATTTCTCTTTTTCATCTCTGCACCTCTGAAGCACAGGATGTTTTTGTTTTGTTGTCCAGGAGCTTTTACTGGTTGTCAAAGCCATCTTTCTGAAAGCGTAATAATTTCAGCACATTATTATTTTATGGGCACAAGGCCCCTTTAGAAATACACGGTGTTATGGAAGCTGCTGTTTGATCCATGAAAAAAAACCCATCAGAAGATCAATCCCGAGAGGTGCAAAGTACCCAACTAGCTCAGGATGTGCTGGAGCTACTCTCCGGCTTTGTTTTCTTGGGGATGAGCAAGAATCAGTTTTGTAACCCAAAACGTACCACCTTCCATCCTGACAGAAGCAGAGAAATTAGGTTTGATTTTATTTTATAGAGGTCCTGAATAGCAGTGTTTGGCTGGGATTTCTCTCGTTAGCTGTAGCTGTTGAAACGTTTTTGTTGGCCAACAAAGATCTAAGCCTTGGGGGAGTCTGAAATCCTTACATTTCTCCTCAAAGTGGTGGAAGACTTTGGGGAAATTTCCCCTTGAGTTTTGGAGAGTCCGATATGTTTAATCCCTGTGAAATCCCCTTTATTATGAAGCAGAGACGTGACTGAAGGTGTTAGAAAAGGTGGCTGGAATTAAACAAGGAGAAAATCAAGGGAAGGTTTTGAAAGAGCTGCTTTGCGAAATGCTGGCATGATGTGGAGGTGGTCGCGGCTCAAATCACTGGAAAAGCACTGGGGGGACCTCAGCACCCTCTGAAACAGCAGAAACCAGAGAGAAAAGTGGTTTAATAAAAAAAAAAATAAATCGGAAAACCCGAGAACTTATGGCCAACGTGCATGGTTCAGCCTTGCGTTTGGGCGAAAAGGAGCCCGCGGTAGCAAAGCGAGGTTTGAGAGTAGCTGCTTGCCTTCTGCTACGCTGAATGGTCGAGGCAATTGGGCGAGCTCTTCTATTTCTTTTTTTTTATTCTTATTTCTTATATTTCCCCTTTGGCTTCCTCTGAGCTAAGTCTATTCACCAGTCCTCTGTTCACAGGTCCCTGGAGAAGTCATTAACACCCTGTGTGGATACAGGACGCTTGATAAAGAGGTAGCGTTGGCTTTTTCCTACGTACACACGAGATTTGCTTCTCCTTCCCCAAACCCCCTAAACCAAATGCGTTATCCGCAGGTGAGCTCTTCCCCACCAAGGGTGGCTGTTGCGGCAGCTGCGTATCAACTCGTTTTTCGTTGCTTTTCCCTGGCATCTCAGAGGGTTGCTCAGGCTCGCAGAGGATGGGCAGGCTCATGGCATGTTTGGGTAGTCCCTGTAGGCTTTGATGTGGCCGAAAGGGTCAGCCCCGGGAAATGCTGGTCCTGAGCTGTGTTTTGAGGCTTGGTGGTAGGAGAGAAGCTGATTCTGAGGCCTTTGGGGGTGCCGGTGGGGCCGTATCGCAGTGGAGAGCTGCAGTATTTCCATGCGTACAGTCCGTAGCTCCCAGGGACTGTTTTTGGGCAAGAAAACCCAGGGAAAGGTCCAATCCAAGAAATCAGTTCCCAAACACTTCTCGTGCCACTCCTTTGCCTTGCAAGAAGGAGCAAATGCAAGAAACCACGTCTGCCCCCCACCCCAACATCTCAACAAAAACCTTGATGCTTCTCTCTGCTCTCTTCCAGCGCCTGGAGCTGCTCAGCATCATCCACGTGCGAGGCTGCATCCATGCTGTCGGCCTCTGGCTCAAAGACAACTTCGAGGCCACTTTGGGCATCGTTTGCTCCCTGCTGCTTCCACAGGTACGTGGCGGGTCCGGTCGGCAACCTCTTGGCTTCTTTCGTGGTGCTGAAGGAGGAAAATAATTCATTTCTAGTTATTTTTTTTTCCCCTCCGTTTACATCTGAGATTTGCATCTTGGGCGGCAAACCTCACAGCGCTTTCTAGAGCATCCTTAGCAAAATTACCAGTTTACGACTGCGGTGCTGGCTGTCTCGTAACACGCTCCTCAAATCTAATTATTGATCAAGTAATAGCATCTAAAAGCAAGGCATGCATATATTAGCACAGCAAATCCTTTTACATTTGTTTTTATAGCTCTCTTCAAATAGAGCATAAATACTAACCAAAATAAACCATAATCGTAAATTTAGCAGGATTTGCCACGCCTCATGAAATCCATTTCCCATTAATGATGGCTGAGGATCCAAGCAACTTTCCAGCACAGGTAATGAAGCTCTTCATCACAGATGCTCAATATGGAGAGAAATTTGGGGTTTGCAGCTTGGGCTATCCCTTTACAACGCTGTTGGCACTGTGCTAGCAAGGAGGTAAATCTCTCTTAGATCTTTCCAGAATTATTTTTGACAAAACTTTGATGATTTGGTGTTGATTTGATCCTTTTTTTGATTCCTTTCAAGGCTCACAAGTAAAAGCTTCCCTTTTATCTCATTGGATGTAATGTCTGGTTTGCTGCTGGAGATCCTTGGTGATGCTTTCCAGATATGGGTTTTATCTATGTGGGAATGAAATGATTTTATTTTTTAATGTGTTTCCACTTGCAATGAAAGGTAGAATAGTGGTTGAATAAAGCAGAAGCTGTTGGGGCAATATGTGGTGCATTGAGCTAATTTTTCAAAGGATGGACTCTCCTCTTGAGCTCTCAGATGGTCCAAATGAAAAAACAGGATGGGGGAGCGGTTTGTGCCCAATCCTAGCTGTGATGCTCCACGTTTCTAAAGTGCTTTCTCCAAAGCATGCAAATGAGCAATGAACTTCTGCTGTGCTACTGCTAGGAAATGCAAAGGGCGCAGAAATGGGGTGAGAAAGTGCGGTAATAGAGAGGACCGCTTCCATCTGCCTTGCAGGATGTCGAGAGCCCATTACTGGAGCCGCCTGTTGCGTTACCCATTAACCTGCCAACATGATGCTCTTAATTGGGAAAGATGGGGAGAAAAACCAGAGATGGCAATAAGGATTGCTGAGCCTTGATGAATATCAAGTGCTTTTGAGCAAGTGTTGTGATTTTTCTGTCGTGCCGTTAAATGCTCTTCACATGAAGACCCTCGTTCTTCCCATCTGCTCACAATTTCCAGGTTTTAAATATAAATCAGATTTGATTCTGTCAAGTTTTGGAGGGAATTAAGCTATAAATGGCCATCTGTGTTGCCAGGAGCTGTCAGCCCAGAACGAGCTTCATGCCCAGCAGCTGCCAGCAGAAAGCTGGGGTGAGAATATTGTCCTTGAATTGCCGATCCAAGGGGGAAGGGGTTGGCCCTGTTGACGTGAGGAGGTGACGGTGCCCTGACCTTTGGGAAGAGTGAACATATTGACCTGTCCCATCTTTGGCCTTTGGGTGTTTGTCATGTCCCGCACAGGACACGTGCCTCTCCGTGGAGCTGCAAACCACCTCGGTGGAAAACTTGCAGGGTGCTGGGGAGAAGGTTGGGATCGTGTTCCACGTCCCAAGGCCGGCTTTGGGTTTTACCCAATGTTCCTCAAAGCGTTGCTCTTCCGTTGGATCAAACTTCAGCCTCGTCTGTGATGATGAGCAGCTCAAGGGCTCAAAGGTTGGGGATTTGAGCTCAGCTGTTGTTCATCATCCGAGCACCCAAGATTTGCGCTTGGATTTGGGGTAAGCAACCAGCTCTTCTTGTGCAGAAAGAAGGACCCCAGAAAAGTTTTGACTGACGTAGAGCACCCATGGAGAGTGGGCACTTATTGCTCTCTGTGTTGTCTTTCCGTCATGCTCAGGTGTGGGCAACTATCAAATTTTGGCTTTCCATCATGTGAGAAGTTACTGAATTTTTACGTTTCCTCTGCTTTTCCCCAAATATCTGTGCAAGAGGCCAAGGGCCCAGGGCAGGCTGCATGGGGTTGCTTTCTCAGGCGTGCGAGGGTCCGTCTGTTGGGTTTGGGGAAAGCTGTAAATCTGCTGGGTCCTGTTGTGGTTGAACTGATGGAGCGGGTAAGGAGCAGGGAAAAATCCTGCCCGGGTATGTCACTGTGCGGCAGCCAGCCTCTCTCCCGGCCGGTACAAGGCAGAGGGAGTTTGTAATTTTATGATCGCTCTTAAATCATGAATGTCTCTGCCTTTTTTAAGTAAGCCATCAAGCAATGGGGAAAAAAAAAAATCTCATTTGAGGAGTGGGGAAGTGGTTGCTTTTATTTATCTTACTTCATTCAGAGCAAAGCATAAATGCACCAACTCAATTATTTTTCTGCCTTTGCAGAGTACCTTTAATTCTCTTTTTCCTCTTTCCTATGCTTCATTCTCCAGTAACAATCCCATCTCCTTGCCCTTCTCAGCCAAGCTGCAGACTGAGGCCAAACTGCGATGCATTTCATATCGCTCTTGAAAAGATGTTTTAATTTGCTGGCTGGCAGTCAGTGGCAAATTCATGTTGTGGCCTCATACTAGTTGTGTTTAATTATGAAGCAACCCCAGATCTTTCAGCAGGTGCAGCAAAGCACATAAATTTGTTTTCTATGGGCTGCATCCCTACCTTCCCTGCCTCCAGCAAGATTATCCAAGGAGTTTACAGCGTGCATGAAACGTGTTTGTAGTTAAAATAAGCCAAATAACCTCGTGCGTTGCTCTTTCCCCTTTGCCATGCCCAAGTGCTCTTTCAGTGCCTTTTATATTGACCTCAGGAAAAGCATCTCCAACTTTTCCATTCCTGTGTCTTTGCAGGGGATGTTTTCTGATGGTATTTCATCCTCCTTAGCAAGGTGACGACGCAGCCATTGCAATAAGGTAGAAACAAGTGCATAAAAAAAGCTCTTCAACCCCTTTTTCTCCATCCTAAAGAAGCAGAAAGTGGCACGAGTCCAATTAAAAAGAAAAAAATCTCTGAAAGGTCACTGCCAAGGGTCAGTATTTATCGACTCTGCGGCACAGCCGACTCAGAGTAAATCGTTGCTACCTCTGTTTCACTTTGATATTTCATCAATCTCCAAAGCTCTGCGTTGGGAGCAGCTACAGAGTAATAGGGCATCAGGGTAGAGGTAGACGTTCCCTCTTAAGAATATAAATCCAGAAGATCAACTGTTTCAGTCCTCAAAAACGCAGCATTAGATTTGCAACGGGCGTTTTGCAGGTTGGCATATTCATCTCTTGGTGACAGTAATGTTAAATGTTTCCTTGTGTAAAGGGCTTTGTGTTGCCAAAGTTCCCTTTTTCTTCGCTAGATGAATTTGTATTTTGTTTGCTTTTTAACATCTCAGTTGCTCCAGGGGCTGGAAGGCGGTATATTCACAAGTGGCTGACGCGTGCTTAATGTAGTAGAAAAGGAGAATAAAAGGGATTTTTCCATCTGCAGTCCATGACCTCTATGAAAGCCTGGTCTATAAATATCAATTTATGGAAGGAAAAGCCAATAAAAGATATATGCTTGCTTTTTACTTGATTAGCTCTGGGAAAGCTTGAAATGATTCAGCTCTTCTGTTTAGCGGGATCCAGCCTTACAGCCACCCAAATGGGCAAGGCCCTCCGGAGCGGGGCACACGCCTGCGCGGCAGCCGGTGACGTTTGCATGGAAAAAGGTTTTCTTGCAGAAAGTTTTGCTTGCAGAAGACCCTGGCTGGGCTGATGGGTTATTTTCTCCATGGCCGGAGTTGGTTTTGTCGGGACCGTGATGCAGCGGGATGTGGTTAAATCGTGCTGTCGCCCTGCAAGGGCTCTTAAATATCCTTCTGTTGCCATTTTCCATCCTTAATTTTTGCCTTTGTTAAGCAAAAGCCAAATTAAGCCTTGTATGTTTGATTGCCCAGGGAAATGCAACTGGAAGATCTGAGTTCCTTTCGAGTGCTCTGCAAGCGCCCGAAATGGAACCTTTCCACCCCAAACTGAGCCACTGATCACATGCACATGCACACACGTGTACGCACACCCCTAAGGGAAAACATCTGTGGTTTTCCAGACCTTGTTCTTGTTGTACGATAACGTGAAAATGAGTGTTTGAGCCCTTTCCTTCTTTGCTTCCAAGAATGTTCCTGACTCCAAGCGTGCTTCCTTTTGCCAGAAGTGGAAGAGACAAGCCATCGATCACCGAGCGTTTCCCGGGGAGGAGGATGTTGCAATTAGATCTCAACCGTATCTGCCCCGTTGAGACCTGTTCCTAATGCAAAACCGTTTAATCTGAAAGAACAAGCGGAGCCGCTACAAGACAGTGAGCAAAGCTGGGGCTTGGCAAGGATGGAGCAGGGCACCAGAGAGCCTCATCATAAATCTTATGGCACCTACGTGGGAGACAGGAGTAGGTGGTTTATGTCTCGCAGAAGTCTCTGTGCTGCACCGGAACCACAGAGGTTGGAGCGTAGCCTCAAAGACTTGTATATATTTGGCTTCCTTAAGTGCTGGGAGAGAAGGAATAACCGTTAGTTGCGTTAAAGTATCCCAAACTTCCATATTAATCGAATTTTGATCTTGTGATGTTAGTAGGAAATTGGTACTTGGGACTGATGCTGTCTTGTTTGAAATAGTTTTAAAAAGTCTTTGATGGCTGCTGTCAGCTCCAAGGGGAAAGAGGGCTTTGGGCTTTGAAGGAGAGAGCAAGCATTGATCCCAGGAATTGCAATGTTAGGGTTTATCTGAGACGGATTGTGCTGGAGAGCCAGGATGCTTCGCTGCCACCACAAAAAAAGAGTGGAGAACCGCCGCTGAAACCAGCGGACCATGTCTTTCCAGTCTCTTCTGGATACCTCTTGTAATACGAAGATGACTCTTCATGCCGTGGAGTAATAGCAGTGGATGGAGCGAGACATTTGCTGCGGTGGCAGGGGCAGTAACCATTGAATTCCTGGGAGCAGCGGCAGGATGATGTCCTTGCTCAGCCAGACAGGCCGACACCCATAGCTTAATCGCGATACAGCACCCAGTTATAATTAATGTCAGTGTTCTACGTTGGCTAGAAATAATTGCAAGTTCAGGAACAAAATAACGGGGGTTTAATTTGCTTTTTGAGCTTTTGCGGTTTCGCATAGAGAAAACTCAAGGGTCTTCCAGTAGCAGGGACTTGCAGACATCCAGGGGAACCTCCTGGGATTAAATGAGCATTTATAATTGGGGCTTAAAACAGAGAAATAATCCGACTGCCCTTGCCTGGCTGCGTGTCCCTGGGTGGTTTTGCTGGGGCGGGGAGGTCCCTCTCCCGGGGACTCGCGGGGACAGGAGAAATACAATCGAGAAGTTTGATTAAGCGGCGTGGGAGGATATGAAAAGCTGCAAGTGATAAATGGGTTTTATTTCCCCATCCTCCCAGGTGGCTCTAAGTGTCATACAGCCCCTGGGAGTCCAAGACAAAATCCTTGAGGATTTGTGCTTTGGGGCACTTATTTTTTTTCTCTCTCTGATGGAGATAAATTTCCTCTAGCTGCTTGGATGGGTTGGATGGGAGAATTTATAGCTGGCCCTTGCTGACAGCAGATGTCCTGCTTGCCGTTTGGCTGGTTGAAAATGGAGATGCAGAAGGTCCTTGCCCTAAATTGGATGGGTTTGGGGCAGACTTGAGCCGTGGCTTCCCAGGGGAGCCCCAAGGCGCTGCCGAGAGATGGAGAGCAAGGTCTTCAACTGCAAAATGCCAGTTTGGATCAGCTGGAGGCCACCAAGCTGCTACTGGGGGGAGCTGGAGAGGTGGGAAATGGCAGCAGACATCTGCCACCCATTCTGTTTTGCTGTGCATTTAGATATTTAACTTTTTATTTATTAAAAAAAATACCCCAAACCAACAAAGCAGCAGGATCTCTCCTTCCTGGTGCAACGTCGTTTGCTTAGTGGGTTAAAATATAATAATCCAGGCGTCTGCATGGCCGTAGGGATTATCCTTGCTTCTAACGGTGATGCTTTGGTTTTGCAAAGTTTCCCTTCTTGACTCGTGCTCCAGGTGGGCAGCAGGTCCCAGCGCGGAGGAAAGGGCGTGCGAGGGGCAGGGTGCAGGAGGATGTGCTTGTGCAAGCCTTTGCACGCTCCCTCCTGCAGCGTCCGGCCGGGAAGTGAGGCACTGATTCTCAAATAATCTCTTCTGCAGGGTGGTTTTCTCCATAGCTGTCACTGCAGGGGATCCCTGACTTTGGGTGCCACCAAATTACAAATAGCGTTATCAATGCAAATTGCAATATGTATCGTGCAATTGCTATTGCAATATCATGGCAAACATTATAGATATATATATGTATCATACTGCGGCTTCCTGGTAGGTCTGCATGCTTTATTGGTTCCCTCAATGTGCAAAGGTCCTTGGATTCATTTCATGCACACAACTGCTCTTGCACGCTCTTGTACCCCTGTGCAAAGCCCGGGCGTTTAAATCCCCCGGCAAAGAGCTCCGAAAGCGGCAGGCTGGAGCTCTCCCGAGGCAGCGCTGGTTTCTGGACTTTGCTGGATGCCGGCTGGGAAGAACAGGCAATTTTCTACCTTTAAATGGCCTGCGGGCAGTAACTCCCAAGCAGTTCTCCCCTTGCTCGGTGGCAATTGCTGTCACAGGACAGGGGGGATGTCAGAGAGAAAAGCAGCTTTTTAATTTTTTTTAGCCTCATTTTTGGTACAGTTTGTTAACATGCTCTGCTGCAATAACACCTTCCTTCGTATCGCAGTGCAGTACAATCAGCGCTCGCGTTAGAAGTCTCTCTACTTCTGGAAAGCATGGTGCCCTTGGTGCCGGAGATATTGAATGCATCTATATTCCTGACAGCTTTCTCTGTTTTCATTAAGGTAAAGCGGATATTTAGAGGCGGGCTGGAATGGAAGTTGGTTCATAACTCAGAGCGAAGGCTGGGGGATGCAGGCTGCTGATTGAGGACTTGGGGTAGTTTTATTCCCTTCACGAATTCCCCGGTTTAACTGGGAAGCTGCATCCTGCGGTACCTCGGACGTCACGTCGCCATCAGGAGGGGAGGAGCAGGAGGGATGATGTCCCTGAACCTGGCTGGTTTTGCAGAATTGGATTCATTTGCATTAAATTTACTGTAAACACAAATCTTTTCTGAATTACTGTTTGGTTTAGGGAGGAAAAAAATGACATGCTTGCCTTAAAATTTGTCATTTCAAAGGATTTTGCTTGCTTGGTCTTTTCACTGTATCAGCAGTGGGATTTTAATCTGCCCAGTGATGACATGCTAATAGAAGTAAATAATGCTAAAACTTGACATACATTTAAATATTATTTATAAACTTTCTAAAACCTTAAAGGCTCTGCTGTTGAATATGGATTAGCACAATCTTATTATCCGGATCCGCATGGGAGTGGTCGCTCTGGGCTCTCCCTACAGTTCAGGGAGAGATGGAACCATCTCCAGGCATCATCCAGCCAGCCTTGGCCTCCTGCACCCCTGCCTGGAGGTTTCTGCAGCTTTGGGGGACCAAAGTGGGGATGGATACGGGACAGGGGAGCAGGAACCCAGCTGGCCTTTCCGTGACAGTCTCTGGGTTTGTTATTTTTGCTTCGCTGCTGAAAGCTCCATCCCGGGTGACCGCGAGGTTGCACAGCCCAATTTCGGTCCTGCACACGTTCTTGGGGAGCGAATGCATCTTGCACAGTTTGGGTCGGGGATGAATGCCATCTCCGTATGCAGGCTGAAGTCATTTCATGGAGTATTTGGGAAGGAGTCGCCTGCTGAGACGGATATGTGATATGCAGCGCAGCAGTGAATATTTTGAGGGCAGCAGGGAGCTACGCAGATACACACACAAACGCTGCCGGGGCTGTAAGACAACCTGATTTCAGGCCATTTGGATAACAAAAGGAGATGCTGAGATGCTTCCAGACTTCCGTTTTTCTTTCAGCATCTGCAATTTTCTTTCCCAGCAAAGAACCCTAATAGCACGAATCCAGCGGTTCTGTAATACTTGCAGTCGGGAAAGCCCAGCTAGCCGCAACCACGCAGCAGCCTCCGGTACCCCATCTGTGGTTTCGGTGACGAATCCTGTTACCAGTAATTAGGCAGAATGTCCGATACGCAAGGTGCTCTTTGAGGATCGGTGGGTGCAGTTAGGAAAGTGGGAACGGGGCAAGCTCCAACTGAGGACTTCAAGGAAGGACTCTCCGTGTTGGGGAAGCATCTCAAAGGACATGGTCCTCCGTGGCTTCTGACTTGTCGAAGGAAGAGCTGTCGATCCGGGCGGTCCCCTCGGGATCCACCTCCAGGTGAATTTGGGAAGGCAAAATAAATATTGAGCTGTTCTGGGACAGCTTCTGTGCAAGGCAGAAGCTGCTGGTGCGGATGGCGGGGTAATTCTCCGTCTCTGAAAGACAAATTAATAAACCCCGGTGATGTTTGTCTGTTTGCTTTCAGGTCGCTGGGTGACACGTCCCTGATTTGCTTTTTCCCTGTGGAATTTTCACCTCCATTTTCTGCAGCCTCCTCTGGGCAAACGCTTTTCCATTTCCGCTATGGGATAAAATGGTCCCTAATTCAAGATGCATTACAACCCTTTGCTTTTATCCCCATTTATCTTTTTCTTAATGTTCCCACTTTCCAGACTATTTAATGGATCGATTAGGACCCAGAGAAATGATTAATAACATTTTTCAGCTCCAAAGCCAATGTGCGGCATCAGTGCAGGCGATTCCAGCTGATGGACGGCAGAGGTGCAGCTGGGTTATTTATCGGCTCTTTGTTGCAAGGACTGGTTATGCAGAAAAACGTGTTAACTACTGGCCTCGAAAGGGAGAGGAAAAGCCCCGAGGCTCAAGATGGTCTCGTCCTTCTCCATCCCGTCTTGTGCATTGAAAATATCTTTAAAACTGCACTGTTTGTGTACCAGTGCCGACCCCAAAGCGTCTGGGCCTTATAGGGAATAAAACTTCTTTCTACAGAGCAGTAGTCAAGGTGGGTAAAGGGTTGGTGCAAAAGATGCAGTTTGTGCTCAAAATTGTTTGTGCTGTGATTGCCACCGTGCCCCTCATCAGCGTCTGGTCTGCAGAGAGCTCCTCGTGACCGCTGATCACCTAACGTTTGTAGCCACCGCAACGGAAACATTGGGTGAAATCAAAGCAATGTGCTTGAAATCTTGCACTGATGACAATGCTTTTTTTTTTTTCCCCTCCTTCTCCTGAAAGTTTAAAGCATGTTTTTTAATTCCCTGATAGACAGCAGGGAAACGGGAAATAACCCGTGTGGCACCGTGCTTGCAGCAATATCTTAATTTTAGCAAGAGCCTGAACCTCTGCCTCTCTCTTTGCAATGCTCGTGGTGACGTCCAGCTAATCCGCGTCCCTCTGTCAGAGCTGACGTGGGACGTCGTGAGATGGATGTGGCCATTAATGAGTTTGACAATGCACCTATTGCTTTGGCAGAAGATTTGACTGGGTGTTGTCCTCTCCGGTCTCATGGCCAGGTTTGGAAGTTCGGATGACAGCATCCCTTGCAGGAGAAGACCTTCAGGAAGGGTTTACGTGACCATAGTGGATTTAACGCTCGTATTTTGCAGGTGATCGGCCTCGTGATGGCTTGGCTGTATTGGCAAAAGCTCAATGAGATCTACTCCAAGCTGGACACCGTTGACTTCAAGATCCTGGAGATGCGGGATTTCAGCTTCGGGGTGGTGGATCTGAGCGGCGCGGGCTGGTGCTGGTGCTTGCCCAAGGAAGGGGGCTACATTCCCGTCAATGCTGAAGATGAGGAAGACAACGAGGAGGAGGAAGACGCCATCTGCCACAGCAAAGTGTGAGAAGGTGGAGGACTGAAAGGCAGCTTGGAGCAAAGTTCTTAGGGAGGCAGTGGATGTTGAATGTAGAAGTAATGAGATTTGTCTTCTCAGGTTCAGGAGATACTTTGGGGGAAACGGTAAAGTAACACTGGAAGGTTGTAAAAAATGCGATGCACTGTGCGGGCACGTGAACTCCCCGGGGTCCTTTTATCACCCTGGTGTTTTGATGCATTTGTACATCTCCTTATCGGGTTTTGGGGTTTGGGTTTTTTTTTACACAATAAATGTGACTTCTGATGCGTTTTGCAAAGTCGCTTCCCTCGCTGCATGCTGGTCGGGCCATCAGGGAGGGAAGTAGCACCATTGTCATTGCACTTGGGGTGTCGTTATAATTATATTTAGCCTGATCTCCTGAAAAATAGTGGCTTTGTGGTAGATCCCCAGATGTGCCCAGGCCCCAGAAAGACACAGCTAAAGGAAAAAGCGGAGCAGCTTGCTCTGCAGAGCCTTTCCAAAGGGCTTTTCCAGGAATCAGATCCCCAGGGAGACAAAACTTCCACCTCCTGGAGCAAGAGGGATGTTTGGGCAAGGCTTGCGCAGGGAGAAAACCCCCAGTTCCCAAGGTTTCCAGCTCTTCCCCATGAGCTACGGCTTCGGTTTTTATCCCCAGGCAAGGAAAAGGAGAGCCCAGCAATTTTTAACACAAAGACAGCTTTATTGCGGCAACGTGCTGCCCCTGGGGATGGTGGTAACCCCCTGCTGCTGGAGACCACCCTCCAATGACCAGGTAAGGAATTACCTTTTATAACATTTCTTTTTTAGCCCAGCTTGGTGATCAAGGTGGCAATTGCCTCCCACATCGCTCGGGATGTAGGAATTAAACAGCTGGCGTGTGTTGCATCCAACCCTGGACCAGTAAGTTGTGCCACGTTGGGAAACAGGCTCGCAAAGGGAAACCTCAAGCAGATGAATTGCAAAAATCAGAGTGTGTTTTTATGAAAAATCCCCCAGTGAATCCCTCTGTACGGGTCCCCAGGCTGCCCTGGAGCGGGCTCAGCAATCACCTACCGATGGCCAAGCTTTCCCCAGCAGCCAGAGGTCAAAGGCAGAGGCGGGAGCCTGGAGCAGGGACCTGTTTTCCCTCCAAACGTACCAAAATCCCACGGGTACCTGGAGCGGCTGTAGTTGCTGCATCCATCAAGCGAGAGGCATCATCTCAAAAGCAAAATGCAAAGAGAAAAAAAAAAAAAAAGTAGTCTATTTTTCAAAAGTGCAACTGCGGCACCGCTCGGCGAAGGAAGCGCTGGGTTTGTTAGTGGCACTTTTTATTAATAAGGGTTTTTGGGAAGCCGGAGGCTGGCTCTGTTTATTTGGGTGCCCAAGAAGGGAAAGGTGGATGAGCGCTTGTGTGCGACTGCCGGGCTCTGTCTCCCTCTTCTGACTGCTTCCAGGCTTTGGGTTTTGACTAAATGAGGAGCAATCCCCAGCACAGGCCTGAAAAAAAAAAATAAAATTTTTGGAACCATTTTTTTCCCACAAATCACATTGAAAATGGAGTTGTGAACCACAAGAGCTGAGCAGCGGGGTTATTGAATTTATTTTTTTTTTATAAAGAGTGTGGCCAAAATTGTTTGTTGTTTTTTGCAAGTGGAGAAGGTAAAACCTGCAGCCTGGGGAAATTGGATGAACAGGATTATTTAAGGAATAACAGGGTGGCTGCCTTTACTTGGGCAGCTCGCGGGCTCTGGGGATTTTACTTTTCTTCCTTCTTCCCTCTCTCTCCAGGAGGGGTTCAGTAAAACCTTAAGAGATACGAGCTGGTAAATTCAACCTGCTCTTTGCACTTCCATGTATTTGGAGAAAGAAAGTTGATTTCTCTTACTCTCTCTTTACTCACAGGACAAGCAGCCGCCACCACCTTTGTACCGTTTTCCTGGCTGGGCCGAGCCCCCTGACGCCGGACCCCGGCACGGGCAGCGTTGGACGGGCTGGATGCATGCAGGTTTTCACGCCTGGATTAATGCTGGGTTGCGGCAGGCGGTGAGCGATGGGAGACAGGGAGAAGTCGATTCGTGCATCACCTTGGGCACCCGGCTCCCCTGTTCCCACAGACAGTTCGTCTGCAAACGCCTGGAAAACAGGGAAGGTAGATTTAAACAAGAGTGTGAAATCCAAAGTGCACTTTGCAAAAGCTTTTCTCCCCACTTACAAACATGCCTCGTTATTCTAAATAAAGGGGATGCCAATAACATTCCCTAATTCACCCTAAATTTTGCATCTTGAAATCGCTGCTTCCTTGCTCCAGACCTGACCCTGCTACACGTGGGAGAGCAAATGTAATGAAACAGAAGCTGGGAAGAAAATGGGAGCAGGGATCAAGTATCAAACAGGTTTTGCTTTGCTTCTGCTGAGACCCCACATCGTGCCATTGAATAATCTCCCCAGAGGCAAGAGAAAAGCCCTGATGTTGGGTGACCTTAAAGCACAAAGCCTGATTTCCCAGTCCTCGGTTTTTTGCTTAAAGCTGAGGCTGGCTGTGAGGGAGTGCTGGGCACTGCTTTGGTGCGGATTTGTCGATACCCCCGTTAAAAGGCTAAGTGATGGCGAGCAAGCCAGGCGTTAAATAGGAGCAGACAGTTCGGGAAGCAAAGCGGGCATACTCGTGTGACCGAGAGCTTGCTTTTCCTGAAATCAAATTTACAGATGTTCAACGCGTTAAAGGCAAAACGTGGAAATTGCAAAATAATCCGGTGTGCAACCCTCATTGCCCGCCCCCCGCCAAACTGTATTTGATTGATCCTGTCGTTCTCTGGGGGTTTTAGGAGCTTTCTCACTGATGGTGATGCTTCTCTGCACCGCCCTGAGAATTTCCTTCCATTCCTTAAGATCAGGTGTATGTCATATTGCATAGAGCCAAACAAATAAAAGCAGTTGCTCTTCCAAATCCCTAGCGATGGAGCCTAAACCGGTGCAAAAAACCCCCCAAGCACCCCAGAAGAGACAGATCCTGCAAGGTGGGGCTGGAAAACTTGAATTTTCCTACGCCTCGGTGGTCTGATACCTAGAGACCATCACTGCGCAAGAGCAGATCTCCGCTGGCTTGAATGTCCCAGCCCCTCCGGAGGTCTGTCTGCATCCCGTGATGCCTTTCTGCCCCCAAAGTCAATCAGCGTCGCCCAAAATACATTTTAACCTGGGAGCTACAGAGGGTTTGGCAGTAGGCATCGATACGATGGTTGCAAGAGCAGCTTTATCTCAAGGCACTCTGGGCTCCCGCACCCACCAGCGCCCGTGACTTTACTCCGCAGCCCCATCCTCCGATTTCTGAGCGTTTTGGGGGAGCTGAAGGTGAGTTTATTAACAGTAAAGCTTGAGTTTGTGGGACTGAGAGTTGATGCGGGTACTGGGGTTTAACTGGCAAAGATAACAACGCTCTTCTTTTCCTCCCCTTACTTCTAGTGCGCTTGCAGTCTTGTTTTCCAACGGTTCTAGTCTGCGTCATGCTTGGGTTTGTATGCAAGGATTTGGGAGGGGAAAAAGCTGTGTACGTAAAAAATTAAAGGAAAAAATCCCAGGCTATATGACTCTCGTAAATTAGCCATAATCGATCAGGACCTTTCATTTATCAGTGGATCTAACAAAGCGTGGGTTTATCAGAGGATGGGGTATTTTGGCTGCCCAACAGAGCTGTGGTAGAGCTCTCGCCAGCCAAGCTAGATTGCAAAAAAAGTCGTATTTCTTACCAACACTTCTTCTGAGGTGTTGTGTGTCCCCATCCATCATGTGGGGACCCCAACCTCGCGCTGAAGCTCGTGGGGAAATCTCTTGGGGGGGTTGGTGACGCTTCAGCTGTTAGAAGGTACCAGGTCGCTTTTAGAGCAAAAATATTTATGCCGACAGCTGAATGGGTATTTCTGTGTTTCTCCTGCCAGCACCAGCTTCCTAAAATCTTCAGAATTAGCCCCCTAATGTTATTCCCAGGAAGCCAAGGCTTGTGATTGATGTTATCCCTCAATACGCCCAGGTTTGGGGCACGGTTGTCCACCCAGAGGTGTTTGTCCCTAAAATAAATTGATTTCTGCACTTGTGCAAAAAAATGTCTTCACATTGCAACCGGGTTAAGGCTGGAGCCCATGTCGGGCTAAAGATGGTCTTTGCCTTGGAGGAAAATGGGTCGCTAATTCAGCAACCCAAGCAGAGCTGACGTGGCCAGCCCTGCACCCTTCCAGCTGTGGGGGTGCACAGCCCGTTCGCTTTATGTTTTTAATCTGTTTGGCTTGAACTGAGATTTTTCTTCCTTAAAATAGATGGATAATGATATGATATGATATGATATTGCCGTGGATGCAAGCAGCCGGAACGGGGGACGTGGAGAGGCTGGCTCTCCGACCGCTCTCAAAGTGACTTTGGGAGGCATCGACCGGGCTGCCATGAATAGTAACCGTTCCCCCATTCAAGTCAAGTGTGAAAGGCAATCACTGGAGGTCAGATAATTAGGAGATTAATTAGCATCCGTGGCAAAAGCCAAAGAAACTCCTATGGGGAATAAAACATCGGGTTTGAAGGAAGGTATTTGGGAGTGGCAGCATGCGTACGGTGTAAACTCTGTGCTTAGGAGATGGGGAAAAATGAACTCTGCTTCTGCAAAACCCCTTTTATCTGTGCAGGTCCCCTCTGAAAGTTAAATGGGTGCTTGTTGCCAGCAAGCAGCCCCTGTTCCCTGAACTTGTGTCCGTAATGGTACCAGCAAATCTCTGTAATGATCTCTTAGGCTTCGCTTACGCCTTCCTTTGAGCAGCAGGAACTTGAGAACGGAGATGTAGCCCCGGTGAAATGGATCCAGATTTTCTTAAAGATGGGGAGAGCGGAGATGGAGCGCGGGCAGGGCTGAGAGCTCGCAGGGGGTGCCGGGAGGTCCCCGGTGCATCCATAGGGAAGGTCCTGGCTCCTTGGTGCATCCTCGCCCCGGCCGGGAAGGACCCTGTGATTTCACTGGGCCACGCGCGAAGGGTTCCCATAGC